AATATGATTAGTGTTAAAAGCACAAGACAACATCGTCTATACTTTGATGTTGTTAAGTAAACGGAGTTATATTTTCAATGTAAACGCATATCAAATGAATATCGTCGCTGTACCGTTTGATTTAATCGACGATATTTTTGGTTTGAACGAAAGTAATCTCGTAGAAAATTCTTTCGTTTCGAGCTTTATCGGAAATCGATATATTCAAGCTTTACCGTGGTACTTACTTACGTTAGAAAGAAACTAATACAACAAAATATATGGAATTTAATCGTAACGAAAATAGAAATAAAATCATTCAACGGTAAATGTATTTTTTTCTAAATGATGCATTAAAATTATTTCTCTCGAACTTAAAATCGTTCTTTTTCTGTGAGGTACAAATACTGTACTTAAATTATTCATGTGTATATATAAATTAATAAAAATCAAACCGTTGAAAATTTACATGACTAAATGAAAAACTCTGTCTTATTTTTATTAGCAAAAAAAAGATTAAAAAATTTCAGTTATATCGTATCGAACAAGATCTAAAGAAAAAGAAAAAATCGTATTTGGAGGGGGAGGAGAGATAGATTAACAAAAATAATTAAAAAAAGAAAGAAGAAACACATAGAATCGTTAATAATACGATGGAAAAAAAAAAAAAAAAAAAACACAGGAGGAAACGTAAAGTATGATTCGGAGTAAAACTAAAATAGCTCTCCTTTACTTAACAACATCAAGTATCTCTTTATTTTCGCCATTTATTAATCGCTCTTCATTATTATTTATGTACAATCATTTCAAAGCTCCTTGGATTAGATTGGATTTCATTTTATTTCGTTTTCTTTTTTTCCCCCCTCACTGTTTTTCTCTCTTTCTCTCTCCCCTTCTTTCTAATCTTTATAGCCATCCTCTTGCATCGTTAGTCGCAATACATTCTACTAAACTCATGTGCCGTTTGGAGATGATGTGCGTCCGTGTGGGAACTTATATAAAAAATTACTTTTTGATACAGCGGAGTGATTTTGGTGTTACTTACGAATTATATATGTCTTTAAACCTTCTAAAAGTTACGCTGAGATCTAGTAGGTAATACACCGTCGCTTCGTCATGTGTATGGGTGTGTGTGTGTGTGTGTGTGTGTGTGTGTGTGTGCGTGCGTGTATGAGGAAGGGGATTTCTTTTTTTTTTATCATTTTTTTTTTATTTTTGTTAATCTTCATCTTTCTTTTCTATCGATGTCCCTTAAATAGTTACAAACCCTTATCACATATATAGAGAGATGTATGTGTGTATATAATGTTGAATTTTGTGATATTCACGTGTGTTGTGTTCTATGTGTACGCATTAACGTATATGAATTTTTAGTATTCTTATCATTTTTTTTACATATATATGTATACGGTTTAATTGCTGCCGATAAATCTCCTTTTCTTATGTACAATTACAAACCACATATTATACAATAATAATAATAATAATAATAATAATACCTAAGATTTCTAAAACATTTATTCCCGTTTTTCTGAATCTTTTTGTATTATTTCTTATTATTTTCATTCATACACACTCTCGAGCGATTAAAACGCACGAGAATAAAAGACACATCCCATCTTACATTCATTCTCTTTCTTTCATTTCTCATTCGCTTTTTTTATTGCATCTGTACGTTTCATTCATAAATCATTTATCTTTCACTTATCTATCGACGCTTTTAGGATTTTTGCATACCTCCATGTTAGAGAACATAATCGTCCTCGTGATTTATTACGAGATGCAACGTTATTGTTATTATTATTGTTATTATTATTAATATTATCATTATTAATAATATTACATAATTATAATTATTATTGGAATAATTATATATCATTATTATTATTATTTCGTTTCGTTTTCCAAACTCATGGAGTTATTCGACGAATCGATCGATGAAAAATGATTAAAGCAATTCGATATATATGTGTGCATATATATATCGAACAAATTTAACAATCTTTAGTATTACTGAAAAAGGAAATAAAATGGTTGTTGTAATAAACAAACTTGTCGTTTATTAAATCAAAAGGAGAGAAAAAAAAAACAAACAAAAATATATGTGTGTGCGCGCGCGCGCATGGTATGTTTTTTATTATTATTGTAGTTGACTTATCGAAAAACGCATTTACAATATCACCATAATGATCAATTATTCATCATTTTTGTTGCTAATATATATATATATTTCGATAGGCATCATCATTGCGTATTTCAATTTTTGTTCGCATTTAAATGTGTGCATAATTGTTTACACACAGTATAAACTAGTGAACGAAAATGTATATGTCGCAAATTTATTTAAATTATCGAGTAAAAATCTCGTTATAGCATTTAAAAATTAATTATTATACACGACACAGGCACGCTCAGCTGCCAATCTTGCCTACCTTATTTCTCTTCTAATTTCTATTATATTTGCAATTGCACAACAATTATGTTTTACTTACAATTACAATAATAATATAATAGTAATAATAATAATAATAATAATAATAATATTATTATTATTACTATAAGAATTAATAAAAATAAAAAAAAAAAAAAAAGAATAATAATAGTAATAACAATAATAATAATATTACATCGATTTTCGTAATACATTAAGAAGGCAAGATCGATATATTTGTTCTTTTAATTATAATTCTTTTTTATCTCTCTCCCCTTCTTTTTAAATTCGATCATTGAATAAAAATATTCAAAAAATCGCAATATCCATGAAGAGCTACAATCATTCGAATGAAAAAAAAAAAGAAAAGAAGATATATCACACGAGAAGAATAAGAAAAATTCTTTCTTGTTTACTTTTCTTTTATCAAAAAAAAATGATATATCCATTTTTTTTCATTGATGACGATTTAATCGTGGTGGAAATATTATTATCGACCGTTCTGCCAAAAATAAAAAAATCATTTTGATTTTTGTACTTCGACTCTCTCTCTCTCTCTCTCTCTCTCTCTCTCTCTCTCTTTCTTTCTTTTTTTCTCTATCTATCTATCCATTCATCCATCTAACTTTCTCTCGATTTAAAGTAATAATCGATAAAGAAACTAAGAATTTCACGAAGAATGAAACGACGAGATATACGACATGATTAGAGAAACAAAAATGATGTCTAAGTAAGTTCAAATTTGATCAAGTACAAAAAAAAATGCTCTTAAAAAAGTCTCCGACAAAGTCTCACGATCACACGAGAAAAATCGCAGGATCTTTATATAATACAATATCTCTAAATATTACTAAGAATGTACTGAATACCGACAGATACACCCTTTCTTTTTTTTTTTATTATTTCCTCAGAGAAAACTATTCATCTCGAAGGGAAAAGCATTTGTTTTTTTTTTTTATCGTTTTCTTTTCTTTTTTTAGAAAAAAATCCTTCGTTTCATTTTTCGAATCAATTTTTGTTTTCTCTTTCCAACGATTAATAATTTTATTATCGTTTGTGTTTCTCTTGTTAATCAAAGACAAGAGTTATGTATATTTTTCTTCTTTTTTTTCAATCTCTCACTCTCTCTCACACACTTTCTTATCTATCTTGTACGACATTTCCCTGCCGCCATTTTATCGAAGAAGTCGAGAATATGCCGATTGAGGGGAAAGAATTTCTTTTTCTCTTCATCATTGTTTTCATCCTCCCACGATCTCTTCTATCTATCTTGCCAAATTTGTTTTCTTTTTCCTAATATCTCGTTTGAAAGATTTTTTATTAAATGAACATTATTATTAATGTTCTGTTTCTCAAAGTCTGTCAAAAAAATTAGTCCATTATTTCTCGCTAAAATGAATACTACACCACGAGAGTATATAATATATAATCACCGTTCGATAAATTGATATATTGACATCTAAAAAATATTATATATTAAATAATAATTATCAAACGTAGATAGAGAAGCTCTCGAATGAGCTTCGACGATAAACGCAAATATGAAAACGAAGACGAAAAACGGAATCACCTCTATTCAATTGAAAATCAATAGTTACTATGATAAGTAATCATAATTAAATTGAATTATATTTACAATAAAAAAATAATAACAATATTAATATTAATAACAATGATAACAAGAAAGAAGAATTTTGTCTTTTGTAAACATATACAGGAAATTTAATTTTTTTTGTCAGAGTCAGGCAGCTCTGGGATCACAGCGACAAAAAGAAGAATGGAAGATGGAAGACTTATTTGTTTTTTTATTTTTTTTTCTTTCTTCCTTTTTTATTTTTTTTTTTATTTTTTATTTTTTTTTTTTTTTTTTTATTTTTATTAATTCTTATAGTAATAATAATAATATTATTATTATTATTATTATTATTATTACTATTATATTATTATNTTTTTTTTTTTTTTTTTTTTTTTTTTTTTTTTTTTTTTTTTTTTAATATTTTAAAACTTTCCATCTATTAACTTTTCGTCGCAATTCATAAGATATATCAATTATTAATAATGTTAATCGAGATCAAGGAAACTGTGGAAAATCTTATTGCATTCATCTTCACTTGTTTTCATTTGACAATACCAAAATATAATACTAATAATTTAATGACATCTGCATGCTCAGACAAAATGTCACATTATTTACAATAATAAATTTCATCAATGATGAAAATGGAGTTTAAGAAAATTAACTTTTTTGATCGATTAGGTAAAAATAGCGTTACCTGTATGTATTTTCTTTCTCAAACTCCTATCACTTCTTTTTTGTTATTTTAATAAATACATCTAGTCTAAAAGAAATCAAATTAAATTTATATGATTAAATTTATAGCCTAATCGAATGATATAATCTTAATAAACTCCCATACGAGAGAAGATATTTTTTTCTAATATTTTACTAAATATTGGCTCGAAATAATGCTTGTTACTACGGCCAATCCAATTAATCACAATAATATATTCGAAAATTCCCTAAAAAAAGTAAAATATTTTCGACGTTATTAACGTTAAAATAAAATAGAGTTTCTTTTTTTCGTCTTCGTGAGTACTTTCTACGATTCTTATCGTTTTGTATTTTGTATATTTTTGTATACTTTGAAACGATCGAGGTAGATGATTTTACGTTCGTCAATGTTTCATCGTTGAATGATCACGCGCTATTATACCTTCTCTTCTATTAATTATTAATATTTCGCGTTGCTATCTTTCTCTTTCCACTCATCGACGTACTCTCGACTTTCAATTTCGTTAACAAAATTCTTGTCATCTATTGTTCCATTCATCGTACAACGAAGATCGTAGACGATAACTCGAAACTACATAATTAAGTTGTACATAAAATTGTCGATCGAAAATTGTGATAATGTTTTATCTAAAGAGTCCCTTGTCATCCCCATCACCCCCACCTATTCTCTCAATGACGATACCAAACTCGTACGAGTATGACTCTGATCGAATAAATATAAATTCTTCTTTTCTTTCTGTCTTTTTTTTTTATCTTTGTTTGCTTGTTTGATTATTGTATATCTTTTTTTTCTATATTTTGTTAAACAATATCCTAATTATTACAGGCCAGGATATACCATCGGGAGACGCGTAAAATAGTAATACGTTATCCGAGATTTAATTTTACGTATCGTACCGCGAATCGTCCGTTCTAATAGTTGGTAGTATAAGATCGAGTTAAACTACATTCGAAATTACAATTATCTTTTTTCTCTTATCGTTTTAATATTTTTTCCTCATTTTTTAGTTTAGTTTAGTTTAGTTTAGTTTAGTTTAGTTTAGTTTAGTTTATTTTATTATTTTATTTTTATTTTATTATTTTATTTTTCTTCAATAACTCGTAATAATTGACGACTTTGTTCTATGATGAGTTAAACGCGAATAACTTGAAAATCGATGCAGTAATCCGCGCGTATGAATTGCAAGTTCGCGGATGAATTTAAAACGCGAACATTTGTCTCTACCTCCCTATCTGCCCCCCACTTCTCTCTCTCTCACTCTCTTGTTCTCTTTTTATAAAGGTAAAGACAAATGACAATATTCTATATTCATAGTTGCAAAAGAAAAATCTACATGAAATTATTAATAATAGCGAATAATTCTATTTACTATTGGCAGAAACACCGTCTATGTAAATCCTACCAACGATTAATGACTGAAAGTGGAAAAATATAAAACTTAACTAAATATACGCAATATCTGTTTTTGTTTTTTGTTTCGTCATCATCATCATTATCATTTTCTTCATCTTCTTCTTCTCCTTCTTCATTTTCTTTTTTTCCGTACATTCCCTCTTTCATTCTTATGATCTAACGCATTCGCTTAATATATATTTCACGCAAACCTATCTCATGCGCGTTCTCTCTCACCCTCTCGCATTCATTTCTTAATAAAAATTCCAGATAAATTTTTAAATGTACATATCAATACAAACTTATGAAAACCGGAAAAATTTAACACAACAGAGTTCAGTGTATAATATTTTTCGAAGTATTCCGTGTAACTATTTTTTTTTTCTAATTACATGGTCACACTTGGGTGTCCATCTTTTCACAATGATGCATTTGCAAATATATATATATCGATATATATATGTATACCGTCTTTGTAGAAATCCGATTACGATCAGACGCGATGATCGTTTAAACTTGATTCGTTTTTTTTAGGCTTCTTCGTTGGAATGTCCCAACTGCACCACCATTTTACAAACAAGTACACTGCTTGCCTTGTTATTGCATATACATTGATAACTTGTTAATGCTGTTATGCGCTCTGTCCCTTTCCCTTATCCTCCACTGTCGGTACCGACCCCTTGTTTCTCATTCCTTTTTCTTTTTTAAAATCGACATTATAATTATATAACAGTTCTCTATCTTTGTTTTTTTTTCTTTTTTTCACTATTTTTCTTTCTAGATTTGATTAAACAAGATGGGAGAACGTATATCATTAAAATGTCTTTGTAGATATTGTCCAGCGGCAAATATTCCAAGTCCTGCCCAGTTTCAATGGATTTATTATGAGCAGTAAATAGCAACATTATAATGATTCTTCAAATGCAGCCATCAAATCACTTTGCATGTTCATGTCAATTGCACCAGCCATCTGAAAAGATAAATATACCCATTCTTTGGCGAATACGCCTTCGAAGAAAATTTCCGCTGATGATATATCGCGAACCATCAACAATTACACACGCATTTACTATATATATATATATATCATTCCTAATTAATTAATTTTAATATATTTAATTTTAATATATCTTTTATATTAGTTCCTATCTTTCCTTTCTCTTTCTCTATGCACTAAGAATTAATAATCCGTATTATCTCAAACACAAAATGAAAAAAAGATATTATATTAAATATTTTATATTAACAAATTATTGAATTGATATATTTTAATCTATATATAAGGCCTACAGGAAAGTTCTGTTAGTTCGTTCGTGAATTAAACAAAATTACAATAAACTAAAAAAAAGACAACCATATATCTCTTCCAAATGAAGACGTTCATACATATTGAAACTTGAGATGGCATTATCAGACAGAACTTTCTGGTAGACCTAATATACGTACGTATAACTGTATTATATTCGTGTAGAATAATATATGTATCTATCATTGTATTATATTAAGAAATTTTCTAATTTACATTATGATCAAAGCTAATAGAAATAACTTTCTAATTAATTGTTATTATATTTTTTTCATCCAAAAATAAAAAACTATTTATAAAAATGTATGAAAACTCTATAACGATCACAGAGGTAATGTTAAATTAACAATTGAAACGAACCTAAATCTATCTTTTGATTAAACATAAGTATTGAAGTAATAAATAATAGAACAATTAATGAAACACTTACCGCTTCACGTCGTCTTCGTTCTTGTTCCCGTAGCCTTTGTCGTTCTCTTTCGGCGGCAGCTTTGTCCTGATTAGATGAATGACTTGGACTACTGCTATCCGTATCAGCAATGGCTTTAACTTCTTCAGCTCTTGTTGTGGCAGTCATAGAGGTACCTGGTTGTTCGCCAACAGATTTTCTTGCTTTCTCTAAAGCATCTTCTTCCTCGCGTTCTCGTCTTTTTTCGTTCTCTTGTCGCAGTCGTTCTCGCTCAGCTTGTTCCTTTTGCTGTCTACGCATCTCTTGTTGCTCCAAAAGCGCCCTTTGCTGTTTTATAGAACATTTATTTGTGTTTTTATTCGGAAAAAAAGAAATCGTAATAATATCTTTTTATGAGTCAATGAAAGATTAATGAATATCAACGTTAAATCAATAGTAACGCAAGGGTAGTAAATAAAAGAGAAACTCACGGTATCGAATGCTCATGAATAATAAAATTTACATCAAAAGAATTGATTTTAGGATCTATGTTAATTAGACATTTTTTACTCGTCTTTGTAAATATTATAAGCCCTTCAAATATGTAACCCTTTTTTACTACCCCATATATTTGTTTTCTTACTTACCCTATCTTGCTTCTCTTTGGCTTGTTTTTTGAACGCCTGGAAAGTATCTCTAGCAGCGCTTTTCATACTACTTCCTGCAGTAGATTGAGGACTCGAGGCTTGAGCCAAGGACGACCACGAGGACGCATTCTTAACGTTTTGTTCGACGGTCTGTATCATTTAATTTAAATGTAAGCATGAATGGCATCTCTTTGTTAAATCAAAATCAAAATAAAAAATCATATACAATACCTTGTTCTTAAAAGCTGATGCAAAGTTTGAAGCAGGATTTTTTGAATCGGGTGGAGTCATTTTCTTTTCAGGCAAGAGCTGAGAACTCGAGTGATTGCCCATCGATTGTATACCCAATGCATTCATTTCTGCAAAAAGAGCTCCACCTAGAGCACCAGCATTATAGTTTTGATTAGTAAGCGGTTAATAGTACAGCACATTTGATTACATTAATAACAAGCTTTTAAAAATAACTTCCCATATTTATGTAGCCAATATGCCATGGAATAATTTAAACATGTTCTTAATATATTGCATGCATTAAAAAAGACAAAAATAAGATTAGTAATATGATTGTTATAAATAAAAGAAAAAAAAAAGAAATAACACAATCAGAATAATACGAAACATGCATTAATATATAAAGCAACAAGTGTAACTTAAGCAAATGTAAGATGCCATATTAGTATTAACACGTGCAATATATTTATTTTTCAAATAAAACATACGCTAGAAAACCTACCATCTATTTTTTGTGCCATTTGTTGCTGCGAGATAGGAAGAGGCTGCTTCTCATCTTTCTTTAAAGGTACTTGTGAAATCTGCATTGGCATGGAAACTACAGGGATAGGATCAAAAATTGATGAAATTCCTGTCATGTTCATTCCCACATTAACTGCTGGAATGCCATTATTATTCAACATGTTCGGTGGTGAAGTGTCACGCTTTACATTCGGAAATCCGTTAGAATGTTGTGACATTGTAACATGTGAATTAGGTATGTTGGTCAAAGGAGACGTTGTATTTATCATATTTTCTAATTGAGAGTGCATTGACATATGTGACGCTGTTATTCCTTGTGGCATATTCATATTTAAATTAACCATATTTCCCAGATTCATATTCGGCGCCATACTCGTAGGCATCATATTAACAGGATTTTTTATTTCTGGCAGTAAATTTAAATTCGTGTTATTACTTGTATGAAGAGATGAAATCATTGGTATATGTGTATCTTTCTTTATAGCAAGACTTTGTTCCAATGACTGCGTTGTAGGAACAGAAGCTGTATAAAACAAAAAAAAAACAATCAAATGATTTGTTATTACAAATGATTGCAATAACTGATTATCAAATGATTAAATTTTTAAAAATAAAAATGAGTTTATATAATTTAAATAAGGATTCTAAATATTTACCGAGATTGCTATATGGCTGCAAAAGGTCCGTCTGTTGATTTAATGTTGTTCCATCCGTTGAAACAGGCGTATTCGCATTTGGGTAAGAATTAACAGATGCTGGAGGCTGTGGTGCCTGAGGCACAACTGGTGATGCTACCACAGTGTTAGTATTAGTCGGCGTAACACTGGGTGGTGGTGTTGGTACGGATACTGATGGAGTTGGTGGATTAGAAGTAGTCGGAGGCGGCGGTGTTGGCTTTTTAACAGGTGCAGCTGTAGCCATTGCAGTCGGTCGCGGAGGTTGGGCAGGCATAGATGCATGACTTGCAACAGGCATCCCTTGACTCGCGGTAACAGCGGCTACCGCTACAGATTGCTGATTATTGCCACCTTAATAACAAGTACAATACAAATTACACAGAGATTTAATATATTTGTCGATTATTTATAAAATACAAACTCTAACTGACCTTGATCAGCAGGAATATTGCTAGACTGAGTTACTGGTGCTGCCTTTACTATTGGTCCCGCAGAATTTGTTGTTGGTTGACTATTCATTAATAAACTTCCTGTATGATTAAGTGCCTAAAAAATATATTATAAAATAATTATTTATATTTGTTGTCATCTCTACTAGCATAAATGTATCGTACAAGCATAACTAACACAATTACGTGATGCTAATATTAATTATAAAGGGTGTCAGATGGTTTTTCATAGAAACTTTGTGACCTTATTCTACACCATTTAGTATTTTCACATTTAGACAGTTTTATAATTTATGTTATAACTTTTGAATAAAGCTTTAAACTACCTATGTTTATGAAATATCTTTTTTCTTTTTTTTGAGCATAGAATAATTTCACACATTTCTATGAAAAAACATCTGAAACATGAAAATATTGAAAATTTTAATAATATGTATAATTAATATCTAATGATATGTATAATTTATTAATATTACAACAATACCCATTAATCTTGTCACGTTTACAGTCTTATTACATTGGAATGTTATCTTACCGGAGCAACAGTTGCCGATGTCGTAGGTTGTGGTGCACTTTGAGTATTCTTCTTCGTCTTCTTTCTAGGTGGACGGTTGGAAGAGTTTCCTGAAATATAACGTTATGCGCATCTAGTAAGTTTATGTGAATGGGCTATCAGCCACTTCATTTTGGATTACTTAGATTTTTCGATGAGGTACTAGTGAGATGCAGTGTGCAGAGGATACCAGCCATAAATATAGTAATCAGTCATATCGGCCATAAAATGTTGCGCACGCCAAATAAGAAATACAAAAAGTAAATATTAAATAGATAATATAAATATATATATATATGTATATATTTATAAAAACTAAATTGAACAACTTCGAGCATATATTTTCTAATAGATTTTATTTATATATATGCTTATATTATAATTGTATCACTGTGTACAACAATGTTAATTTAAATATCTCAGTTGTATGCTTTTTTTTTTGTGGACTTTTATCTTCATGACTTTATATTAAAAAATTTTTATATATATATATAATGCGCAGAACAATTGTGTTTTTCTTTTTTCGTATTTTCTTTTCTTCACTTCATTCTACATAAAGTCAATTGTATTCAATTTATTTATGAATAATTGCATGTCATGTGCATATATATATATATGCGCGTGTGTGTGTGTGGAGGGGGTGTGTATACACATCGTAAATACTTGCAACCATATATACATATATATGCATACATATCACGCGCGCGAACACCGAAGACACACGTATCGCGTAATCAGTAAACATACATATATATGTATGAAAGAATACGCATTTCCTTTTTTTTTTATCTCTCATTAGGATACTAACAATAATGATTATTATTACAATAATCAAGACGACAAGTGACGAATGATGATTATAAAATGATGGTTGCGTCTACGAAGAAAAACAATCGAACTGACATTCTCGGTTTTATCTCTCTTATATGGTATATAACGTAGTATAACAGGATTAGAGCGTGATGAATAAAAGTCGCATAAATGGTACAATATGAATTCTCAACTTAAAAACATGGGATGATTCAAGAAGAGTTGACACTCATACAAGCAAATATGTATATATAAAAAAAAAAGAAAAAAAAAAGAAAAAAAAAGCTCAAGTCACGGTTAGCACAGCATTGAGATCGGTGGTAAGAGACTCCTGCTCGTTGTTTATAGTATGTATTTATCATTGATATGAACTATATGTAGCTTGTACATATAAAACCATAGGTTTTATATTACTTTCTTCCTTAAATGTTGTATATATATATCTATTAAAAAAAAAAAAAAAAAAAAAAAAGAAAAAACCGAAGAGAGAGAATCTCTTTGTAGCTGAAAACTACAAAAACGTACAAAGTTTTAATTATGGAATGGCTGATAATACAGAAAAAAATTCATTAAACATGTGCTCGAATATAGACACTATACTAGTATCGCTATAATCAACTAAATCTAAAAACAATGAGAAGGAGTTCCAGCTTATCTTACTTTATATAATATAGTTAACTGGACCACCATACAAGCTAACCCTAACTCTGAACCGCTCGGAAGTAACACTTACTTAATTTGCTTTCGTGTTTCTTTTTTTATATTATAATAATTATTATTATTATTATTATTATTATTATTATTATTATTATTATTATTATTATTATTA